TCGGGCGCGCCCGGCCGCGGCGCCGCGCCCGCGGCGGCCAGCGGCGCGGCTGCCAGGGCGGGCGCAGCCTCGCCGGCGCCCACGCACGGGGGAGGACGCTGCACCCGCAGAGGCCGCCCTGGATGGGGTCCTCCTCCTCCTCCTCCTCCTCCTCCTCCTCCTCCTCCTCCTCCTCCTCCTCCTCCTCCTCCTCCCTCCCTCCTTCCCTCCCTCCCTCCCTCCCCCTCCCCCTCCCTCCCTCCCTCCCTCCCCTTCTCTCGTCTCTTCCCTTCCTCCCCTCCCTTCCTCGTGCTGCCCTTCTCCCCCCCCCCTGCCCCTCCCGGGCGGTTCTCGGCGGGCGGGCTGTCCCGCGTTCGCGTCGGTTCTCTGCTGCTTCCCAGCCTCGGGATGCTCTCCGGTAGCTGCGCTTCGCCGAGAGCGTTCGGGGGGGGGCCGGATCGTGTCGAAAGGCCGCCGGAGGCCCGATGCACATCCCCAGAGCCACCTCCCCAGATAGGGCCCGAGTGCGGCAGGTTCGTGTCGTGACGTCCGCGTTGGGCTCTGACACCGCGGTGATCGTCCAGCCCCGAACGATCGGCCGTTTCCGAAGCGTCGGATCGTTCAGCATCGACCGACTCTGGGTCGCCAGCGGCGTTCTACGTGAAACGCCGACGGCGGGGTTGCCGCCGATCGACGCGACGCGAAGTTATCGTAGATGGGGTCGGAGGATCGCGCCGCATGGCCGATGCGTCAGGGATGCATCAGCGATTCATCAGCGACACTTGCTTTCCATCGGCGACGCCAACGTGGAGAAACTCAGGCTCCACATTGAGCCTCATCACCGATGCATCGGCCATGCGGCGCGATCCTCCAACCTATTCTAATTACTCGGACTCCATTTTGGAGGCCTAGAACTTTTGTTTGGACGCCCGAAATGGGCACGGAAAGAATGGGCACAAAGCCCAGCAACAAATGTTGTCCTAAATCAACAGCGGCCGCTGTTGGGCAGGCGGCCTTGTGTCTCGAATGGACACAGGCCGCTGCGGCGTGGACAGCGAATCCTGTTCAAAATGAACAAGAACTGCTGTTGGGCATCGTACCCATTCTTTCCGTACCCATTGCGGGCGTCCAGATCTTGGGGGGCAAGTGTAACCCACGGCGAACATATCCGAATCCGCGCCCTCATGGTTGGGATTCCGGGGCGCGATCCCGCGGCTACGCGGTCGTACGGACTCGTACAGCTCGGGGCATCCGCGAACAGAGCGCCCGGTAGCCGCGGGGTCGCGGCCCAGGGCCCAGCCCGCGAGGCTGTGGACACGGGCATGATTTCGCCCACGAGATACCCAGGCATGCTCGTGCAGCGAAAAACATGACGAAGGTGTTTGCCAATGTTCGGCCTCTCGGGGCCCTCGCAGGGCCACGGGACCGTTATAAAAAGATGTGCGGGATGAAGAACCGACCTTGGGGAAGGGGCGGGGACTTCCGGGGCCTCCGTGTGAAAAGTCAAAACGTCGGAAGCCTGGGTACAGTCATTGCGCTACCAGAAGGAGCGGCGAAAATTCAACGAAGGGGCTTTTCTGGCACGGTGAACCTTGGCCACGATTAGGTTTCCCGACCTACAGGAACAGCCCGGAAACCAGGCCCCCCCCCCTGTTTCAGCGTCTTGACCGGTAGAGAAATCAGCTTCTCGGTCGGGGCCAGCATGGATACGGGTCCTCTCGTTCATCCATCTCTCTCTCTTGCGGAGAACTCATCTCAGTCGACCCACACCAGACGTGTCGTTAGGGCGAGCCGTGCGTTTCGCCTGATACCTCCGCGCCGCTTGCGATCTTGAGCCTCGAGACTTCGAAGCGTTATGCGGATAGGGGCGATCGTTTTCAAAATTGAGATCTCGCCTTGGCGCTGCGCACGCCCATCTTAAAAGCTCCCATCAGGCACACAGATAGAGGGCGAATCGTTTTCAAAATGGTGCTCTCGCTTTACCGCCGCGCCGCAAACGCTTTGAACACTTCCGACACGGATGGGGCGCAACATATTTTTCAAAATGGAGCTCTCGCCTTGGCGCCGCGAGGACCCGTCTGTTAAAACAATCGTAGAATTGGTAAAACGGCAAAGTGCTTTCAAAACTAAGCTTTCGCCTGAGCGCGACGCACGCTGGTCTTAAGCAATTGATTTCCAACGAATTACACGGATTGAAGGCCCCTTTTTTCAACATCGGGCTCCCGCCTGAGATTTCAAACATGATGTACCACAAATCCGCCGACCCTGTCGGCGTATGTGAGAGGCTTTTCCGTTCGAGTCGTCTTCGCCGTCCTTCGTTAATCGTCTCTGTCGTCCTCTTTCCTTGCGCTCCCCTTTCCCTGTGCCCGTCGCCGCTCCCCCCTCCTTGTCTGGGCTTCCTCCGCAAGCGCGCCAGCCAAAGCGAAATTGAGCAATGTCGTAGAAGACTCGAAAGGAGGCCCCTTCCCTTTGATGCCTTCCCGCCGGGAGGGAGGAGGGGGGCGGGTCCGGTCCCGGGGGTGAGGTCCTAGGAGGGGGGGTCTGGGCAGGGTCCGGGGGGGGGGGGTCCCGGGTCAGATACGACCCCCCCCAGGGGGTGTCCCCGAGCAGAGTGCCCCAGGAGGCCCCCGAGACGGTACAAGAGAGCTTCGAATCGCCGAACGATCTGTCCAAGACGCCTTCACGGCCTCCGACGGCCCGCAAAACGCCCGAGAAAGCCTCCAGGAGCAATCCCGAGAGGGCCCGAAATGACAACTCATCGATTTCCCATAAGTCTTTGAAGCATTTCGGCGTTCTCGCCTCTTCCCCTTCCCGACGCTCCAGGACGGCTCAAGAGGCCTCATATCCCTCCAAGACGGTCGAAGAGGCCTTCAGGAGAGATCCCAAAAGGCCCAAGAAAGCCCCAAGACGGCCCAAGACGCCTCCAAGACGGCCCAAAAGGGCCCCCCTGACGCCTCCAAGAGTGTGCCTGCCCAGGAGAGGCACCAAAGTGACATGTCGAGCCCTCAGCCCCGAGAGGCTCCCTGGAGGAACGAAGAGGCCCCCCAGAGGCTCCCAAGAGCCTCCCTCGAAACCTCCAAGAGGCTCTCAAGACGCCCCTGAACTGTCCCCCAAAGACTCCCGAGGGCGCTCCGAAGATACTCCCCAGAAGCATCCCTGAGGACTCCGACCTACGTCAGCGTCGTCGTCGTCGGCAACCAGACGGTGTATACACAGTCAGATGGATACCGCACTGCCCCATGTTTCGTAGAGGACCTCCCCCGGCATCGTGGTAGATGGCGAATCCATAGCGACTCCTCCGCCATCCAGATCCTCCTCCCTCCTCCTCCGAATTACCATCCCTTCAGCCTAATCTTCCCCATCCTTCTCCTTCACCTCATTCGTCCTTCTCCCCCCCCTCCAATTCCTCCTCCTCTTCCTCCTCCTCCTCTTCATCCTTCCCATCCTCTACAATTGCACAGCATGAATACTACTCTCCTGTCTCCCCCGATGACGTCCAGAAGATGTTCAACCCCCCTCCGCGCCCTGTTTTTACCACAGGATTCCCTGGAGTTTGGTTTTCGATTGGGTTGTTTTTTTCAAAATGCTGCTCCCGCCGAAGCGCTGGCCTCATTTTCGGGCTTCCTCTCGTTACGAATCGTGTTCCCGCTGCAGCGCTGGCTTCATTTCCGCGCTTCCGCTCGTTCCGCATCATGCTCCCGCTGCAGCGCTGGCGTCATGATTTCCAGTGCCATGCCATAGCATGCAATGCTATACTGTGTGGTGTTCCGCTGTGCAGTGCCATGCCTTGAGCTGCAACGCTATGCCATGCCATGCCTGTGCGATGCCATGCAGCGCTTGACTACGCAATGCCACGCCATGCTATGCCATGCTACGCTTTGATATTCAACGCCATGCCATGTTCTGTTTTGTGCCGCTGTGCGATGCCATTATTTGCGTTGCAACGCTTTGTGATGCCATTCTTCGCTACGCCACGCCACGCCACGCTATGACATACTACACTCTGCCGTGCTCTTATACGCCCTGCTATGCCGTGCTCTACGGTGCATCGCGCACCCTCGCGGGATCATTGCCCTGCTCGACATCCGACGGTGCGAATGGAGAGATCTACGCCATGGTAAGGGATGGGAGGGAGGGAGGGGTAGGACGTCAGATAGGACGCGAGCGCACCCAGCTTGTCCTCCCCCCCTCCTCTTTCTCCCTTCCCTTATAACCTTCTTCTTCCTCCTTCTCCTCCTCGTCCTCCTCGTCGTCACCTTCAAGGTCGGCGGCGCCAGCCGTAAGGCCTTCCCAGTACAAACATGCACTACTGCTTCACGTTGCGAGGCCATTGTCTTGCCAACTTTCGACTGCCGCTGCACATGCCGCTGGACAGTGCGGCTTGAAGTCCGATCTTGTGACTCAGCTAGACAGGTGCAGGCGGGTGGAGGGCGGTTCCTTTCCGCAGCTGTTCTGCCGGTGGGCGCTTCCTCGGACCGTACGGCCGTGCCCTGTCGCACCCCCTCTGGATCGAAGGACGGAGGGCACTGTTCTTCAAAACGAGGCTCCCGAGTGGTCTGCGGGCCGGTGGGCTGTGGGGCACCCGTCCTTCCAAGGGGGCGCCGCTGGCAGAGGAGAAAGAACGCTTTCAGGGGCGAATGCGGAGGACATTGGGACCGGAGGGTGTATTGCAGCATGGCTGGTAAGTCTTACTGTGGCACTTCCTCCTCCTCCTCCTCCTTCTCCTCCCCACCCTCGCCCTGCATCCTCAAGCTCCTTTCTCCAGGTTACCTGTGTGAAAGCTATGCAAGTGGAAAACGCATACCAAGATTATAACCAGTAAGTGCATGGTACTCGCCGCGTGGCTGTGGCCTACAACACGTGAGCCCAACGGCGACATACGAGACAACCTTCCACAGCAAACTGGTCGCTACAGTCGATCAACTCCTGCTCCTGATCCCCCTCTGACGACGACGACGGATCATGCCATGGAGGAGGAGGAGTCACGGGTCGTGGACCCCAGGCACTCCCCCAGGAACCAGCTACGTATTCACCTGGACGGCCCCAGGACACGGGGTGGGCCTCGGGGGGCCTGAAATCATACCCAGACAGACACGCACCCGCACATACACAGTCAATCACACAAACAAACAACAAACCGAAACGACAACGTTTCGCTCGGAACCCCGCTCCTTCATTGCGACTCCTGCTCCTCCTCGGCCCACACCTGCCGGATCGGACAAAAGGGGTGAGGGTAGTAAAGGAAGGTTTGGAGACTCAGCTCGCGTTGCTGATTTTCCCAGCGCCCCCTGGCACCGTAGGCGCCAGGCGCCAGAGTAAAGCGCCCGGGGGCGCAGACGAAACCAGCTGCATGTATCAATTTTCGCAACCTCCCCCTTCCTAATTCGCCCCTCCCTTTCGTCCGACCCGTTCCTCGATCCTCTGGGAAATCTGGGCCCCTTCCCTGGTTCCGACTTTTCACCGTGAATCGCTTTATTGACTGCCCAGTCAGGGCCGCCATCGAGGCCAAGACCTGCCAAGGGCAAAAGTTCGTTCGTCGTAACTTCCTCGCTGCGAGACCAAGGAGAGAAGGAGTGACCAGACCTTCAAGGACGACAACATTGGACATGGATATGTTCGTTGCTCGTGGAACTCCTTCTATTCCTCGACGCACTCATCGAGGACGGGACTAGTCAACATCGGAGCGGAAAACCGAGGCGAATTGGAACGCGCGTCTGATCGGGTCTGCACGAAATCCAACTCGAGTCGTATCGGCCACACAAGAATGCACAGCCGTGTCACGCTGGCATCGGGCCGCTCCGGATCGCCGGAACGTAAATATCGAATCGGATGGGACTGGCCTTAATCGATATCGAATCAGATCGATCAGATCAAAAGGGACCCTGGGACCCTGCGAACACGATGAAGATAAGGCACTGGCGACGGAGGAGGAGACGGATAGAGGAGGACAAGGAGGAAGAGGAGGTAGGAGAAGGGAGGAGGAGGAGGAGGAGGAGGAGGAGGAGGCGAAGGAAGAGGAGGACGATGGCGGAGGAGGTTGGAGGCGAGGAGGAGGAGGCGTGATTTTCTCACAATAAAGAACCCTGAAGGTCTCGCCCCCTCCCCCCGAGGCCGGTTTCTTATCCTGAGCCGTTCTGTGACGGCCCCGAGGCCCTGCAGAGAACCCCCCAGACGTCCCAAATAGGGGAACATCGATTGCCTTATGGCTTTTCACGACTCGTGGAGGAAGGGAGGCGAGAGGCTCGGAGGGCCGATCACGACGGTGATGCCCGACGGCGGCGACGAACAAGCGGCCGCTGGGGGAGGAAGAGAGGAAGAGGAGGAGGAGGAGGCGGAGGAGGGCGGAGGCGGAGCAGGAGGAGGGAGGGAGGGAGGAGGTGGTGAAGGATAAAGGAAAGGGGGAGGGAAGGAGAGAGGACAAGAAGAGGGGAGACAAGACGCCGACGACGACGACCGGCGGCGCCCGACGACGGCGCCGAAGTCGCGGCCGCTAGGCCCGGGGCCGCCCGAGCGGGGGGCGGGGCGCCGCCGCAGGGCGGCGGCGGGCGGGTGGCCGCGCGGGCGAAGTGGAGCTCGGGGTCGAAGGCGGCTTGCGGGGCGGGGGCGGGGGCGGGGAGGAGGGCGAGAGAGGAGGAGGAGGAGGAGGAGGAGGAGGGAGGAGGAGGAGGAGGAGGAGGAGGAGGAGGGAGGAGAGGAGGAGGAGGAGGAGGAGGAGGAGGAAGGAGGAGGAGGGGGGGGGGGGCGGAGGAGGAGGAGGAGGGGAGGGGAGGGGGAGAAGGGAGGGGGGGAGGAGGAGTAGCTGGCTCCTCCTCCTGCTCCCCCTCCTCCTCCTCCTCCGCCTCCTGCTGCCTTTCCTCCTCCTCCTCCGCCTCTTCCTCCTTCTCATCGTTCTCCCTCTTCCTCCTCTCTCCTCTCTCCTCCTCCTCATCCTCCTCCTCCTCCTCATCCTCCTCCATCTCCTCTTCCTCCTCCTCCCCCTGCTGCTCCTCCTCATCCTCCTCCTCCTTGCTCTTCCTCTGCCAAGTGTTGACCCAAGGGGTTCCACAATGGCTGGGGGAGCACTGAGTCCAGTAGCCTGGACAGACTCTGGCCCAACCTTTGGTCGCATGTACATTTCCAGAGGCAGGGGGCAGTGGTTCGCCACATGCGTCTTCCATAGATCCGTCGGTTCTTCACCGGGTCGCAAGTCGTCCAACACCTGCTCCTAGATCCCGACAGTGATATACCGATGGCAGCTACGGGTGAGAAAGACATTGCGAGGGCAAACATACGAGCGTCGAGCCTGAAGAAATCGTACACACGGGTGGCTTAACTGGGCCGCCAGCGCGACACATTGAGAAAGGGCGTTGACGCGCGACCATACGCGGGCAACTTGCGCGCAAGTGTCCGCGTAACGGACCGCATTCGTTACGTCAATCAGATGGGAAACAAGAGAGCACGATGAAGCGAAGACGCCATACCTTATGCAGGGAGCCTGGGGAGACAGCACGCTGGCCTGGCTGGTAAGGAGGGATGTCCACGCTGGGCCACTTCGCCACCACGATCGCATGCGACGTCTCCCTGAGCGTCTCTCTTTCGAGGAGGGGGAAGGGTGAGAGAGGGAGGAGGGGGAGAAGAGGAGAGGGAGACGAGAGAAGACAAGGAGGGGACGAGAAATAATGAAGTTGGCGGCGAAGAGTACCGGGAAGGAGGAGGAAGGAGGAGAGAAGGAAAGGGAGGAGGACCCGCCCTACTACCTAACCCCACTGTGCACCTGTCTCTGTATGTTCACATTCCCTCCTTTGGGGGATCGAAAAAGCACCGATGCCGCGACTCCCTGAACCTCTCCCAGGGCGGGCCCTCACCAGGATGTCGCCGCGAATCACGCCGCGGCGACGAGGGACGTGTAGCGCACGGGTAGGTGTACCTCCTCAGCCTGCCCATCCACTCACGTACTCCGACTGCCCATCCACGTCCACGGCCGTGCACGCACGTGCCGACGCGATTATGTGCCTCCTCCTCCTCCTCACGTCCACTCGCGCGCTCCAATTGCCGAGCCTCCACGCCGTCGCTCCCTCCCCCCCTCTCTAAGCCAACTCTCAGCTCGCCCGCCCTCAGAGGCAGCGCTTCGCACAGGGGCCGCTGATCGGACCTCTGGTGTGGCCGAGTCGGAGGTCGCACGCGATCAATCGCAAGGGGGCTCCATCGTAGGGGGGGACTGGTTGCATGGCAATATCAATCAGCATCGAATCGGCAAATCGGATCGAACTGAAACGTGCATCGGATCCTGATGCATCGGCACGGAACTGGCATCGAACCTGATCGGCTGCGCCAGGATGCACAAGAGCGCCATGCAGGCATCGGGCCGCATCGGATCGTCGGAATGTCCGAATCGAATCAGTTCGGGCCGGCCAGAGCCGAGATCGCATCGGATCTACTGGATCGACTGGATCGAGATGGACAGGCGGTCATTCGGGTGTGTGGCCAGGTGGGCTCGTCTGCTGCCTCTTGCAGCCGAGGCTGCGGCGCGCGGCGGCCAGCGCCAGGGCCAGCGCGGGGGGGCACGGCAGCGGTCGACCAGGCAACGCACTCAAACACAGGGCTGGCTGGCGCGCCGGCCTCTTGCAAGTCTACCGCCGTGTCTTGCAAAGACGCTTGTGATTGTACCACCCAGTCCCCCCTGCTCTCAGGGGACAGGGGAGGGTTGAAAGAGGAGGGAGGATGGAGAAGGGGAAAGAAAGAGCGTGCGGATGGGAGGAAAGGGAAGGGAGAAAAGCATGATGAAGACAAGATGGGCGGGTGATGCGAGAGGGAGAGAGAGAGAGAGGGAGAGGGTAGGGAGAGGGGCGGGAGAGGGAGCGGAGGAATGGGGACGAGAGAGGTGGGGGGGAAGGAGGAGCTGGGCGGGGGAGTGGCGAGGCGTGGCGAGGGCTCAGAAAGGCACCAGAGAGGAACAGGGCGGACGAGCGGGGACGAGTGAAGTCTGGACCAAAAAAAAAACGACACCACCCCAGCTAATTACGGCCTCTCGGGCCTTAGCATCTACCATGAATGTTGGTCTGGGCTTGTGCGTGGTATACGCTACGGCGCCCGATGGGCCGTAGCGCAACAGGCAGGGCCGTAGGTGCGGGGTGTCGTTTGTTTTTTTGTCGGAAGTGGGGAGTGGAAGGTGGGGAGAAGAGCTGCATCATGGGAAGGACTGATGCAGAGCAGGGGCGTGGCGGAGCGGGAGGGGAAGGTTCCCTCCACCACTACCCCGTCGCCCGTTGCCCTCTTTTTCGGCCTCCTGGGAGGCCGTCGTCGCCACTGCTGGATTCGCCACGAAATCCTGGTCAGAACGCACCCCGGCAGAGGTCCGGGGAGTAGCGGTATCGATACCTTTTGGCTTCCCCAGCGCGGAAGAGCAGGGGGAGGGGACGCGAGAGGGGGGGGGGGGCGTGCGGACGGCAGGGTGCCCTCGCCTCCAGCGCCAGAGGTCTTGGCACAGGCTAGGCTCGACCAGCACGCGCTGCGCTCGGTCGACACGTCTCGAAGCGGCACGCTTTCTCTCCGATGCGAGCGGTCCCACCTAGCAGGCGAAAATGCTGGCCAAAGGACACGCCCTCTGATCTGAGCCATTGCCGAGGGCAGGCAATCCGCTTTCGCCCAAGCGCGGTTCTTCTGAGCAAGGCGTGGGGGGGACGTGAAATCCGTGCTCGCAAAGCGCAGCGCAATCTCTAATGATCCTCCCCCTCCGACGCAATCTTCGATGATCCTCCCCAACTCGGCACTTCAAAATCTGGGGCCCTGACACCAAGGCTCTTGAACCGACGAGCCCTTTCCTCGTCCGTCTCCCTCCTCCTCCACCTCCCCCTCTTCCTCCCCCTCATCCTTTCTCCTCCCTCCTCGTTCCTCCTTCATCCTGGCTCCCAAGAGGCCAGGAGTCCCTCTAGGCGGCCTATGCGCCAGGAGTCCCTCTAGATGGCCGATGCGCGGCACAGCCCAGTCCAGCTCGCCCACGCCCGCGTAGCCTTCAAACTGTACCCGCGCTTCCATCCTGCTCATTGCGCGTCGGGCCCAAGGGCCGTCCGTGCATGAGTGGCCCCCGTCTGCTCTCTTCGCATCTGCCAGTGCACTGCGAGGCGGGGATCTACGCCGCCTGGGAACCGACGTCCTGGTGCCCCAGCGGGCGGTGGATGCGGATATAGGTTATCCCCCCGGGGTCCAGCGATACCCATATCCACGGCCTGCCGAAGTCCCCGAAATTGATCCTCCAGTCGGTGGTCGTGTTTTCTTTCCCGCCTCGGATGAGCGCCAGACCGCTGCTCGCCAGACTCGTCTGCCGGCATCGACTCCCCGTCAACACCAGCTCTGCAAGTGAGAGTGCGCAGACTGCTTGGCCTTCGCCACGGCCAGGTGCTGGCACACGCGCTCGAGCAGCCATCGCCCACAGCTCTTGCACCATTCGGCGACGAGCAAAGGGGGGGAAATGAGCAGGAGAAGGCCTTCTCAGAAGCCTGGGCAATCCCCCGGCCTTCAGAGAACTGTTCGAAGCCTTCCCCGAAGACACGGAAAATGTCTCAGAAGGAGCGAGGGTTTTTGAGAAGGCCCTCCGCTTTTTGAGAAGGCCTTCTCCGTCTCACTTCCCCCTCGCCCGCCGCCGAACAATGGCTAGTAATGCCCCTCCACGTGTCGTCGACGGCGACAATGTCTGGGAGAGTCGACCTCACAAAGTTGTGCATCGTACACCCCGCTCCCTCCAGGGGCAGGAAAGGTGGGTCAGGGGCAGGGGTGGGGTTTGAGGAACATCGATCCAACGTGCCCCTGAAAGGAAAAATGTGCGCATCCAGCTGGGTTCGTTCCCTACAGTCAGGCCGCTGACCTAAGGAACGATAAACAAGGAAGGAATCTCCTTTTTGGCCCCAGAACCGCGTGCGTGCACGAAGCGGGCAAGAGACACAGCCATGGAAGGGCCAAAAGAACATCGAGCCCCTTCCGAATCCACGCTGTTCCTTATTTGGGGCGTCTTCGCTGTAACCCCACCTCGGGATAAACACCACGTCCTCCCAGGCCCCGATCCCACTAGCACCAAGGGCTCCCAACTTCGCGCTGCGCGCTGCGCGAAGCTCGAAGTGCGAACAACTTCGCGCTCTCGCGCCGCCTCCCAGGGGAGAAGAGGAGGATGAGGCGGAATCGGAGCCGAAGCGCGAAGCGCGAAGCGCGAATCACTTCGTGCCATCGAGGGCGCCCTTACAGCACGGAGGAAACGGGTCCTGAGGGAAACGGGTTCTGGAACTGGGGCCTTCTCCCGGGACCAGCTCTTCCTCTCGGGTCGTTTTCTGACGGCCCTGGGGCCCGTGGGGGGGGCCCCCCGAAGCCAACCACGAGAGACCTCAGGACCGCCTCCCCTCGTGACCCCTGGCCTTCGTGGCGATCCCTGGCCGCCTGCGCGCAGGAGTGGCCCCATAGGCAAGAGGGACCTCCGGTGCGCGGCCTTCGGGCGGCCGCGGGCCGCGGGGGAGGCAGAACCCGAACGCGCCAGCCATGGCTGGCGGGCCACCGCGGGCCCGCACCAGCAGGCGCTCTGGCGAGGGGTCAATCCGACGCGCGATCGACTCCCACCCTCATAGAGGAAAGAGAACTATGCATATACACCGATTCTGGCCAGGACCATCCTGAGCCCAGGATCGGTGCATACGCCCTCTTACCTTGGCCAGGAAGGTATATGCACCGATCCTGGGTCAAGGATGGGCGTTGTCAGGATCGGTGCATGTGCGTAGTTCTCTTCGCCCGACCTCAAGCCAGCCAAGCCGGTCCCGTCCCCACTGCGACGCGATGCCCTCAGTCCCCGCCTGGCCTGCACACCAGGAACACCGCGGGTTCGGGGCGCCCGGTCACGGCGGACATCACCTGGCAAGCTCGCGCGGGGCCCGCGGGAGGAGATTCTGGCCAAACTCCAGATGATGACAAGGACGATGACCCCAAGGAGCCAATTTTCGATATGCGTGATGAAACCCGTGACCGCCCCCCCTCCCCCCCGTCTGGGCATGGCCATCCTTGGGAATTCCCAAGGACGGCGCCGCCGCGAATCGTGACGTCACTGGCCCATCTACCCCCCGGTCTCGCCCGTCATCGCCAAGGAAAAGAAACAGTACGTCAAATTTTGAAGTTCGAAGCGGGGACGCCTTAGCGGACGCGCCGTTCTGCAGATGCTTCCGACCGCCCGGAAATCATTCGGATATGTTTCGGAGACGCCACGGGGATGTAATGCCGCGTGCGCGACGACACTCATCGGATCCTGCACCGGACCTAACCTGCCTCCCGCGCCCCTCCTTCCTCATCCCCCCTCCCCCTTCCCCCCATCCTTTCTCCTTCCGTCCCTCCTCATACATCTTTCCCCCTTCCTTTCCCCTCCTCATAACCCCTTCTCATCCGACCTCCTTGCCGCCTTTCTAACATCCATCTACCGCTGTGCAAAACTAAACCACCACACCACGCAATCCGCCCACCGCGCAAAATAAGTACTTGGGCCGACGGAGTGGCGAAACGACCGCTTCCAAGTCAAACCGACCCGAACAAAAAAGGGACGGTTAACATGTCACATGTCGCGAACTGTTACATCAACACCTGGCGCATGTCGGACGGCCTTGGGAATCCAACAAACATCACGCGCAACGCACTTCAGTCGTCTTGCCACAGACAGCGCGCCGGGTGTGGCACCAGCATGTCGTAGCACCTGTATCAGGGTATCATTGGACCGATTTTGACATGCAAACGATGCAGGCTAGTCATCAGCGTCTCCCCGTCGGGAGAGACAGCTGTTTCCTGAGGGAGCGGTCTTCGTCGCAAGACACCTCGACGTCGTCTTGGAGCCCGTCGTCCGCGATGTTTGGGCAACGCTGATCCATAATCGTCGCGACCACCTGGAAAGCCGGCACCGTTTTGGGGAAGCTCATCATGACTAGCCGCGACACAGGGCCTCTAGGTAGGCCGCTGACTGTGGTAATGCCACCACGTACACAGGCGAGATGCGAACGAACGCGTAGGCCCCGAGGACGATTCTAGCACTTCTGGCTCAGCTTCGGGGTCGTCGAATCAGCACTGATAGTTCCCCGGGGCTTGACGACGTGGTCCTGCGAGCTCTTGTCGCGAAGGCCATGGGCGAAACCGTTGGGGATCGTGGCGGGGAGCTGCTCTGTCAGCATCCCTTAGTGGCTCTCCTCCCAGGACTCGCTATCCTTTGGCCGTTCAACATCGATCCCACATCCAGGAACCTCCACCAGGGAGATTCCGGCCACTTGTCGCAAGTTGCGTAGCGCGCGACCTCCTCGGCACTTGCTAGCGTCGAACCTATCGCGTCGATCGCCCGCCGGCCACCGCCGAGATGGCCCTCGAGCGACCACTGCACAGCGTGCGCCACTACGGGGGCCCCATGAGGGCCTCAGCGGCCCCCGCGGAGCAACTCCTGAACCTTGCAATAGAAGTGGCACTCGACGGCGTGGATGCCGCGCGGGGCGCTAACCTCTGGGATGATGATGTGGGTGCCGTTCCGGGCGCTCGCTCTGCGATATGGATAGGGCCGGACTGCGCGTCAGTGCACCGCGTCCTGGTGGGACCGCGCTAATCGATGAGATGTCGGTGATCAGTTTTCTTCGCGGCCCTGCCTGCTCGCCTGGCCTCGCGCGCAAGGCGGCCCCGCAAGGCTGCCTCTCTTCCGCCGGCGCTGCGGCCCCCTCCGCGGCCGCCTGTAAATGCCGGGGCAGAGGCGCATGCTTCCACCAAGTCGGGGGCCCGAGGCAGACTGCCGGGCGCCCGCCGGCCCAGCCTGAACATCGTCGCCAGGGTGGGAAGGCAACAGCCCCGCGCCCGTTGTCCACGAGAGCCTGCGGCAGGTTGGCCAGCAGGCCCGCGCCCAGGAGGACGGGCACCTGGGCGTCGAGGGCGGGCGCGCGCAGCGCGGGCCAGCCCTGAAGACGGGCGCCCCCTGCGTGCCGAGGGCCTGCTGCGACTCCCCGCTGCCGAAGATGAAGATGGCGCCCTCTGACGCGTTGACATCCGTCTCCGGCCCGTGCTCGTCGCGCATAGTCGTCTACAGGTCCTCCAGAGCGTCGCACCCCCCCGCGGTTCTCGTCGCCCCAGTCCAGGATGCCCCAGACGCACTCGCGCTTCACCAGGTAGTAGATTCTTCGGGCGCGTGAGTTCGGGACGCGACCGACCCTCGTCTGCCAAGTTGATCGTCGAGGCCGTCATCACCTCGCTCACTCCCCGAAGACACAGCCGCCGAAAACGCCGATGGACTTCTGCGGCTCGGCGCATTGGGAGCGCGGAGGCCTGCGGATCCTCTTGGGGCATTATCGCGCGGAGCGGCCACGGTCACAACAGACAACGCACTTCGTCTTAGCGTGGTCGATGTCCCTCTCGTTGCACCCCTCAGGGCGCCGTGGTCCTGTTGCTTGGGCCCATGTTTCTCCGGTGGAAATGTCGCGGTGGTGGCCGACCGCCCCGCTCTGGACAGCTGCTCTCCTTGCGGGCGGCGACAGGGCGAAGTCCCTGGCCACCTCTAGCTTGCGTAAGACATCTCGGGTTTTTGTCGAACGATCTGGCTGGCTCCTGAGCGGCCACCACCGCCTCCTCGTAGCTGATGTCCGGAATCCCGTCGTAGTCCTCGCCATCGCCCGACGGGGCTAGCGCCGAGGTCTGCTCGTTATCATCGTCGGGCTCACTCGCGCCTGGTTATGAATCTCCTTCGTTCTCGTAGTAGACCTTGATACGGCGGCCACTTGTTCTGACCATTTCGCCCACCGTGTTCAGCCATGACATCAGCAGGGTACTTGCCCATGAAGTGCTGAGCCACCTGGCCGAAATCCCAGGTGCCGCCTGTGATGCTGATCAGTTCGCAACTCTCTGGGGCCGCCAGGCCTGAGCGTCGCAGGGACCAACGCGTGCGTAGCTGCGGGCACATGACATGATGGATTTAACATTATGGTCGATCACCTGCTTCTGGGTCGTCAACTCCTTCTCGCTTTTCTCGAACCACGTGACCCAATCGTTCGGCAGCTCGCCCACTGATCGTCGTAGCTTCTGCAGACGACTGTCGGCAAGAAGGTCCACCTCTTGCATGGTCGTCAATTTCAAGTTCGACTGGACGTGACCGCAGCAACTCCACCAGACGAGACACTAGCCCTCCTCCCCGCACTGGTCGATGCGCCCCAGGTCTTCGTCGAAATCGAACTCCGCATGGGGCTTGCTTGATTCTGGGCCCAATCATCGGACCAGCTGCGGTCCGCAAATGCACCTGTACACTCATGCTTACACCAGACAAACATCCCAAGCAGTGGATGGTTTGAGCCGCCAGGCCTAAGCGTCGCAGGGACCAACGCGTGCGTAGCTGCGGGCACATGACATGATGGATTTAACATTGTGGTCGATCACCTGCTTCTGGGTCGTCAACTCCTTCTCGCTTTTCTCGAACCACGTGACCCAGTCGTTCGGCAGCTCGCTAATTGATCGTCATAGTTTCTGCAGACGACTCTCGGCAAGAAGGTCCACCTCTTGCAAAGTCGTCAATTTCAAGTTCGACTGGATGTGACCGCAGCATCTCCACCAGACGAGACACTAGCCCTCTTCCCCACACTGGTCGATGCGCCCCAGGTCTTGGTCGAACTCCGCATGAGGCTGGCTTGATTATGGGCCCAATCATCGGACCAGCTGTGGTCCGCAAATGCACCTGTCCGTCTTTCGTACACTCATGGTTACACCAGAGAACAATCCCAAGCAGTGTATGGTTTGAAAAATCGGTGGTGGAATCAATAGTGTGAGGACGATAGTAACGTTTATCGTGAAACGATCGCGAAGTCGATTCAGTGAGATTGTTAATGAGATCGATCGTTAAATACGCTCCATAGTGATATCGATAGTGGACCGATTGTGATCTCGATCGGTGATGAGACGGATCGTGAGATCGATAGATGGTGAGACCGATCGAGATCGACGAAGAAACTGGGAACCCGGAATGCCGGGAACGCCGCCACCTACCGAAATCGGCCCGGAAACAGCAAACGGGCACCCTGGAAACCAGAATCAGGAACCCGGGAATCTGGGAACCCGGCCTCCTACCAAAATCGGCCCAGTACTTTCGCCAAATCTTTCAATCTCCGTGAGGACCCCTTCAGTGCAAGCGCTGATTGGGGAATGAACAACACTATGATGTCGCAGCGGTACGAAGTGAGTTGACCCGTCTCCTCGTTCCAGGTCCGTCCCTGTACAACTCCTGCACTGGTCGCTGCTGCCCCAAGCGGCAAGTATGTCCTGGCAGATGATGTTCAGGATAGCTGGCAGTTCCCAACGGCTCCGCTACGAATCTACATATGATACTGGTTTGGATGGCGTCGATGTAGTCGTCGTGTCACTCTGACATGAGATGATACACTTGTTCTCGTCGCCTCCAGCTCCACCGTCGGAGCAGCCCCCTACCGTGGCCACGCCCCAGCACCGCCCTGCCCCACAAACTGGGAAGAGCGAAAGAACACGCCCACTACCCTCGTGCCAGGGTAGCCGTGGGCGGAAGCCTTGCACAGAGAGCGGAATGAGGGATGAGTCCAGAGCTCGGAGATTCAGAAGGAGGGGGGTCCCTGGCGCGCTCCGCGCGCCAGAGGGGGTCGCGCATCGGGCCCCGCGAGGCGCGACGCGCGGGTTATCTTCGCGCCCTGGCGCAGCCCAATGTTCGAGAAGAGCGCCCTTGGCGCAGGCTGGGGGAGCAAAAAATTGCAGACACACGCACACGCATAAACCTTCAGGAGTCCGGGCGAATGTCTCGGATAGGGGCTGATGCCCCGTAGCGGCGCCTTTGGCGCCGCACCTGGCGCGCTCCTTGCGCCAGAGAGGGGGTTCCAGCGCCGAGCCAAGAACTCCGCGCGGACCTCCTGTCGCTCCTCCACACGTGCTCATCCTCTGCAGGCGGCGACATGCAGAGAGCGACCATCTTCGGGCCCCTGCTGGCGACCTTGTCCGAAATGACGCGTTGCCCCTTCTGCGAGCCGCGGAGCGCCAGCGGCAGCGCACGAGGTGCGGGGCGAGGGGGCGGCCTGCCGAGAGGGCAGGCCTCTCGGCAGAGCCCGGAAGCCTCGAGGAGCCTCCCGTGGAAGCCCCGGGGCCCCCCGGAGGCGCGCCCGGCCCCCCAGGTCCCCTCGGAGGTCTGGCCCCCTCTCACCACCACCCCCTGCGCTGGCGAGCAAACCACACGGGGCTCCGGGGGAGCGCGGGGGACCGCGCCCCGACCTGCGCGAGCCTGCGAGCAGAGCGAGAGCTGCAACGAGGACGGCTCAACATCGATCCTGGGCCCCTCCTGGGGCCCAGACCGCCGGGGAAACCGAAAAGGCACCGACGCACCGCTGCTCCCCGGATCTCTCCGGGGGTGCGGTCTGGTCAGAACTTCGAGGAGAGTCCAGCCGTGGCCGCGAGGGCTCTCCAGGACGAGCAGCGGCATCGGTATCTTGTCCTCCCGTGGAGCGCACCCGCTTTCCCAGACGCGTCCAGCCGTGGCGGCGAGGAAGCCCCTCGAAACCCAGCGGAGGCGCACTGACCCAGGTCAATGCAAGCCCGGATCAGTCAGGCCTTGCAAGATACTTCAGGACCCTGCAAGAGCCTGCACGCCAACCCGGGTCAGTGCACCCCTGGCTTTTGCAGGATCCTGCAAACTCAGGCGCTCTGGCTGACCCCCGGCCCCCACCCTGAAGGACAACGATTCGGGTAGGAGATTGACTACAGAATTGCTTAACCCCCCCAAAAACGGTTTGCCCCTCGAATCTACAAATTAAAAAAATTATATGTTCGTCGATCTACGAACGTTCGACGTATTTGTTCGTAGACTAGACAACGACAACGAAAAACAGTTTTGATGTGAATGAAGTCTATAGTCGATCCCCTCCTCGAGCGATAGGCGGGGGACTGGCATCGGGGAGAAACATCGATCTAGGATCGGCGGTATATCCCTGGGGGATCGGTGGTAAGCCCCTGATTGTGAATCCACACGCTCCTGGGCGGGGGTGGTCTATGGGACCCCGTATCGGAGATGAAATGACGATTGGTTGCCGTTGCACACACCCTTATGCCTGTCTCCCCCTGTCGTTGCTCCTGACATCTGCGCCACTCCGAGCGGGCAAGACAGGGACCAGGGGTTGAGGTGGGGGGCTCGATGCCGACGACGACGACGACGACGACGACGACGGCGACGACGACGGCAACGGCGACGGGGACGACGACGACGACCAGGACGACGACGACGACAACGGCGGGCCCGGGGGTGCGAGGGGGCCTCTGCGCCGACTACCTCCCAAGCGTCCACCAGCCGGCGCACCTGCTAGCGGTGCGGGTGCGTGGGGAGCACGCGGGCGGCATCGGGGCAAGAGCCTCCCGGACACCCCCCCCATCTGATCCGCGGGCCGCACTCGGGGCAGGGCCCTTCTGTCCTCGAAGCTCTCCCTCCGCCTGCTGCTGCTGCTCGTGTTGCTGCGCCTCGTCCCCGCTGCTATTGCTGCTGCTGCGTCTCCTCCCCCTCGCCTCTTCTGCTCGCCCCTGCTCAGCCCTTCCCATCCCATCCGCCCGAGTTCGTGAGTCCCACCAGCCCTCTCGGCGAGTAGGTGGCATAGCGAGTTCGCTAATCCAACCCCCCTCTAAAAATTCTAAGAGAGATGTTCCCATACCCCTAACCCCCATCCCTTGGGCCTGGACAGGGGGAGGGGGGGAGTTAGAGCGTCCAAGATGGCTCCAAGATGTCCTTCGATGAAACCAGCATGCCCTCTGAGATTGCACACGATAGCCCCCGATGGCTCAAAATATCCTTCAGCATGCCTCCAGAAGGCCCCAAAACCGCCCAAGGAGGGCTCCAAGTGTTCTCGGAACCGCTCCGTAACGCTCGCGAGAGGCACACATATGTCAAAACCGCGTATTTCGATGTGTGCTGCCTTCTCACACCTTCGCTTCAGGTAGGCTTCTGAGGCCTCAAGATGGCTCCAGAACGCCCAAGAGGGCCCAAATATTGACCCAAGAAAGCTCCAAGACGGCCCCAACTGTGCCAACGAGCACCCCAAGAGGCCCCGAAGAACCGCTTATTCGGCATTGCCCAGGGGGACCGTACGCCGCACGCTTTGATCGCACGCGTTGATCGACGGCCGCCAAGATTGCTTCAAGGAGGCCCCGAAGGCCCCCAACATGGACCCAAGGAGCCGCTAGATGGCCTCGCGGAGAGGTTAAAGTCTTCCAACATGGCCCCAAGAAAGCCCGAGGCTTCCACAAGGCTCCCACAACGAACGCCGCTTGAAAGTCTGGACTGTTGATTCATAGTCCTCCACGAGCGCTACTAGTCACACGGGTGTCGCGGGCGCTGTCTCTTGAGAAAGCGTACTGCTACACACAACTGATCGGGGCAGCTCGCCTGGAGATGTTGCCGTTGTTTCGACTCCATACGAGGATAAAGTCGCACAGCCAACCACGGCTGTAACATATGCCCTGTCGGCGACATGAATAAATTAGCTCCCCAGCTAGCTCCCAAGAGAAACTGGATGGAAGAGGAGTGGTGTAGATGGCCTGGCGTGGATGCTCGGCGGAACGCCCGTTTGGGAAGGCAAAGGAGGCAGGCCGTCTCACAAGGCTCAATGGCCTTGTAGGTGGCGTTGCTGCCCGCGTTGGGCCCTGCGGCTCCTAACGCTGGAAACAGTCGAACAGATCATCCAATCCTGCGCTTCCTGCTACTCATCCTACGCCGCCTCCTCCTAGTCGTCCTCCCCCTCCCCCTCCCCCTCCCCATCCCCCTGCTCCTCCCCCTCCCCTCCTCCTCCTCCTCCTCCTCCTCCTCCTCCTCCTCCTCCTCCTCATCCGCCTCCTCCTCCTCCTCCGCCTCATCTTCCTCCTCCGCCTCCTCCTCATCCTGCTCCTCCTGCTCCTCCTCCTCCTCCTCCTCCTCCTCCCTCCTCCCCGCCATCATCAGCATCATGCTCCTCTCCTCCTCCTCCTCCTCCCCCTCTCCCTCCTCCCATCATCATCATCATCATCATCATCATCATCATCATCATCATCATCATCATCATCATCATCATCATCAACATCATCATCATCACCACCACCACCATCATCATCATCATGATCCTGATCATCATCATCATCATCATCATCATCAGCATCATCATCGTCATCAGCAGCAGCAACATCACCATCAGCATCATCAGCATCAGCAGTATCATCAGCAGCAGCAGCAGCATCAGCATCAGCATCATCACCATCACCATCACCATCACCATCACCATCACCATCATCATCAGCATCAGCATCAGCATCATCATCATCATCATCATACGCATCATCATCTTCATCATCATATTCGACAGCATCAGCATCAGCATCATCATCGCCATCAGCATCATCATCGCCATCATCATCATCATCATCATCATCATCATCATCATCATCATCACCATCACCATCACCATCACCATCATCCTCATCATCCTCATCATCGTCATCATCATCATCATCAATCGTCGTCGCCGTCATCATCATCATAGACGTCATCCTCACCCCATCCGCGTCCGCATCACCATCTTCATCCCCTCCTCATCCAACTCATCCGCATCTTCAGCATCATCAACATAATCTAAAACAGTATCATCACCATCCGCATCGTCATCATCATGGGCATCGTCATCCGAATCAGCATCGTCATCGCCATCGTCATCGTCGTCGGAGTCGTCATGGATATCGTCATCTTCTTCCACATGATCCTCACCATCATCATCGCCGTCCTCATCATCAGCAGCATCATCTTCGTCGTGGTCGTCGCGGTCGTCGTCGTCGGCGTCATCGTCACCATCACCATCCTCATGATAATCATTACCATCATCATCATCATCATCATCGTCAGCAGCATCATCATCATCATCATCATCCTCATCCTCATCATCATGCTCGTCGCCACGCGCATGATATCTATGATCATCACAATTTTCAGCAGCATCATAATCATAATCATAATACTCATCACCGCCGACGTCGTCATCGTCATCGTCGTCATACAAAGCATGGTCGTCGACGACGTCGTCAACATCATCACCATTCTCATCATCAGTACCGTGATCAAAGTAATGACCATCATCATTGTCGCCATCATCATCACCCGCATCATCAAGATTATCATCATCATGATCGATAGCATCGCCATCGTCGTCACCCGACGGGTCATCATGATCATCATCATCAGGAGCGCAATGATCGTCATCACCATCCGCGGCAGCATCATGACAGCAGCGGACATCATCGTCGTCGTCAACGCCACCGTCATCATCATCATCATCAGCAGCATCATCATCATCATCACCATCATCACCGTCGCCGTCGCCATCGGCATCAGCATCAGCATCATCATCGCCGTCGTCATCAACATCCTCATCATCCTCATGGGTGCCATGGCCTCCTGGGGCCAATGCCCTGGGGGCGCCCAAGGGTCCCCTCCGTAGAGGTGCCCTGATTGGCGTGAGCTGAGGAAAGGCGACGGCAGCTGGCCGGCTGAGTTACAGTGAAGCGGTGGATTCTGCACGATGCGCAGACTGACAGACTCTCGCACCTGAGGCGGGCAGCCCCGCGCTTGCCACAGGGCAAGTGGCTCCCGTTCGCGTGGCAGCGCACTGGCGCTCGGATGGCGGCGTCGAGGGCTCCGCCGAGAGCGACGGGAAAGGCGCGAGGTCACGTTCTGTTGGTGTCGCTCGCACGGGAGGGGGGGGCTTTCTGAGGGCTTTGGTTCTGCTGTGCGCGGCCCATACATGACCTCCGCTATGTCGTCGGAAGCAGGGCCGCGCGAACGCGAGCGCCTCCCGCTCGCCGAGTGGGAGCGCGCATCACTCCAAATTTCAAATGTGCCAGCATCGATTCCTACCCGTCCTCCGACGGCGATGCAACGATGCAACTGAAGGCGGTCAAATCCATTGAAAATCGGAGAGCACCTTTCTGACACTCGCCCTTCACCGGGCTAGTCAGAAGAATGAGCTCGTTCAAAGTCGGCGCGTGAGGAAACGAAGCATAAGCCAAGCTGCTCGCCGCTCGACCTCGCACTTGAGCGCATCGGGCACGATGGGACGAAAGGCAGACCCTGGGGAGGAAAAGCACCGCTCGTGAATCTGCCACCCCCACGGGGCGCACTGCCGCTCCCCTCGAGCCTGCGTGGCCACGGTGTGCTCAGCTCCACCAAGGATCGAGGCCAGTGCGGAAGTCCTGCTCGGGCCACAGGGACACAGCGATGTCGCCGTTCTCGAGGACGGACGCGTGCGCGAGCGCCAGGGAGGCCGCGCACGACCTTGCCGCTTTCGTCGTATTGCGGGCCGTGGCAGGAGCAGCAGAACTTGTTTGCGGAGCGGACCCACGGCACCACGCACCCGAGGTGAGTGCAGGTCGCATTGATCGCGAAGTCCTTGATGCCGCCAGACGTGGAGATGAGGTAGCAGGCATCGCGACATCACCTTTCGGCCCTGCACCACCTCACGGTCCTTGTAGCTGGCGGCTCACCTCTTCAGCGGGACGGCCGCGCCGGTGATGTCGCCCACAGGTGAGGCACCGCCAGCGCCAGCGCCCAACTTGAGGAAGAAATAGAACGCGTGCCATTCGGGGATCTTTGACCCGGGTCAATCCAGACCCGGGTCAGTCAGGCCTTGCAGAATCCTGCAAGATCCTCCACCCAAACCCGGGTCAGTGCGAAGGATCCTGCAAGATCCTGCAGGATCCTGCGCCCCGACCCGGGTCAATGCAGCCGTGGCCCTGCAGGATCCTGCAAGATCCAGCGCTCTGGCTGACCCCCGTTTGCATTGACCCCCGTCTCTTCAGCCCCGAACCACCCGAGGACCACCAGCGCCGGCACAGCGCAGACGGCCACGACGATGAGGCTCATCCGCACGCGCCTCTGCATGTCGGGCACGAACGCGGTTTGCTCGCCCGAGCCAGACTGTAGCACCAGCGCCGACTGCGCCCGGCCGCCCGGGGGGGCGGGCGCGGGGGCACGGCACCACGAAGGCGTGTCAGGCCGCCCAGACGCCCACGAGGAGGGCCAGGGCCGCGAACGCGGCCGCGCGGCTGTCGCGGATGCCGTTGTGCGGCTCTTGCTCTTGCGGCTTGGGCCAGCACGGCTTGACCAAAATGGCTACGGACGGCTCCTCCTCCTTCTCCTCCTCCTCCTCCTACTCTTCATCCTCATCCCCATCCTCATCCTCATCCTCATCCTCAGAAGCAACAACATCATCATCACGAGCGTCATCACAATCATCATCAATAACAACTTTGACGAACCACTCAAGGACAAAGATCACCGGCCCAACGGGCCAGAGGCGTGCTAAGATATCCGGTAGCTGGTTCACAGAGTGTATGTATATTCTAGTTCGCGCGCGCGGGGCGGCCCCTGGGGGTTCCCAGACTAAAAGCACCCCGGCCGACTCCAGGCATGGTCCGCTCAAGAATGCCGGAATTCCCTGGGGCGGTTTTCGGGACCCTCCAAATCACCCAAAGAGCGGCCCAAGGAACCTCAAGGCAACTCCAAAAGAGCTCAAGAGCGCTCCAAGATGACCACAAAGAGGGCTAAAATATTGACAAATCATGTATTTCCCCAAATGATGCTTGCAGCACTAGGGTTCTTACTTCGGTTGCCATCTCGGGACCCTCGCCGCAAAATCGCCGCCGTGCCGCCCGTCGCCGCCCGTCGCCGTCGCCGGCCGTCGCCGCCATCTTCGCCCGTCGCCGCCCGTGCCGCCCGTCGCCGCCCGTCGCCGTCGCCGCCCGTCGCCGCCATCCCCGCCCGTCGCCGCCGGTGCCTCCCGTCGCCGCCCGGCGCCGTCGCCGCATTTCAGAATAGCACCGCGTAGACTGCATTACATAGGTTGCATCGCAAACATTGCACCACATAGATTGCACCGCATGGGCTGCATCATACAGGTTGCATCGCATACATTGCACCACATGTATTGCACCGCATAGATTGCATTACATAGGTTGCATCGCATACATTGCACCACACATGTTGCACCGCGTAGACTGAATTACATAGGTTGCATCGCATAGATCTCCTGTCTTTCAAAAAAGAAAAGACTCTACCCCCCCCTCGCGGAATTAGCGATCCACCTTTTCGTATTGCAAGTAACATATGATTATGCCCCATCGTCCCTCCTGAACATGAATTCATAATAATCCAGCCAAACCAGTATCACTCCCCCTCGCCATCCTCTGCCAGCAATACTATGCGCGCACTCTCGTTTATCAAAAACCATAAGCTTTCAATAATCCCTTGCTAAAAGTTTGACGACGTGCACACGCGCGCGTCGTCGCGCGCGCGCATGCCGAAACCATTCAAAAACCTTCGGTTTCGGAAGGATTTCAAAATCGAGTCTCCCAAACAAACAAAACAACAGGGTTTCGCAACACTGATTGTCTAAACAAGCTGGCGTGCACGCTCTTACGCAGAACTGTTTTCAAAATTTTGAAAACATACTACCAAACGGGCTTGGCGCACGCGTGTCGGAATCTTTCGAACGCCCTTGCGCGCGTGCCGTCGCGAGAATCCTCTGCAAAAAAACAAAGGAAATGCAGACGCGCGCGTCGTCGCGCGCGCATGCCGAAATCCTTCAAAAACCTTCGACCTCGGAAAGAGTTCAAAACCGTCTGTCCAAACAACATACAAAAACACTAGGTTTTGCAACACGGATTTTCAACAAAAACGTGCGCGCGCGCTCTTGCGTCGTCGTCATCGTCGTCGCCGTCCTCCCTCCTCCCTCGTCGTCGTCGTCGCCGTCGTCGTCCTCTGTCCTTCCTCGTCGTCGTCGTTGTGGCGCCGTCGTCGTTCCCGTCGTCGCTGTCGCCGTGGTCGTCCTTCCTCTTCCCTCGACGTCGTCGTCCGTCGTCGGCGTCTCGTCGTCGTCCCTCCTACTTCGTCGCCGTCGTCGTCGTCGTCTTCCCTCCTCCCTCGTCGTTGTCGTCGTCGGCGTCGCCGTCCTCCCTCCTTCTTCGTCGTTCGCGTCGTCGCCGTCCTCCCTCCTCCCTCGTCGTTGTCGTCGTTGTCGCCGTCGTCGTCCTCCCTCCTCCCTCATTGTCATCGTCGTCGTCTTCGTTGGCGGCGTCGTCGTCGTCTTCGTCGTCGTCGGCGTCGTCGTCGTCGGCAACGGCGTCGTCGTCGTCGGTGTCGTCATCGTCGTCGTCGTCGTCGACGTCGTCGTTGTCACCATCGTCGTTGTCGTCGTTGTCGTCGTCGAAGTCGTTGGAGACGTCGTCGGTGTCGTCGTAGTCGGTGTCGGCGGCGTCGTCGTCGTCGTCGTTGTCGCTGTCGTCGTCGTCGTCGTCGGTGTCGTTGCCAAGAGCCATTTGGTACCTACCGCCACGGTCTTAAGAGGTCTTGCTACCAAGTTGCGGGTGGGAGGGTGGGATGTTTGCACAACCAGTGGAGAGGACAGCTTCAAGAGGGTAAAAATCAAGTGCAACACATAGATTGCAGCGCATAGACTGCATTACATATGTTGCATCGCAAACATTGCACCAATATATTGCACCGCGTAGACTGCATCACACAGGTTGCACACATACATCGCACCACATATATTGCACTGCATATATTGTACGCATCGCACTTTTGCATTACATAGGTTGCATCGCATCCATTGCACCACATATATTGCACCGCATATATTGTTTTACATGGGTTGCATCGCGTACACTGCCTTACATATATTGCACCGCGTAGATTGTAAGAACCTCCTGTTTGGGGTCCACGCTGGCTAACACTTCCTTTTGTTGTTCTGTTCTTCGCGCTCTCGCGTTTTCGGGCTTCCGACGCTCCAGGATGGCCCGAGAGGCCCCCAGCACCGCCCCAAGACGGCCCGAGAGGCCTCAAAGAGGACCCCAAAACTGCCCCAGAGGCGCCCAAGATCGCCTAAGAGGGCTCCAAGAGGGGCCTAAGAAGGGGAACATGAACCACCAATTCGAGCCGTCCGCCCCAAGAGGCCCCCGCGAGGCCCCCGCGAGGCCCCCGCGAGGCCCCCGCGAGGCCCCCAGAGACCACGAACGAGCAAGCAAACGCCTGCGATGGCGCAATACGGGCCGGCGGGATGAGCGAAGCAATTGCACGCCATCTTCGCCGAGCCAATCAAGGACAAGGATCTTGTCAATGCACTGAACGTCCGTCGCAGCCACCGAACCCCGTGAGCAGGAAGGCTGCCAGGTCCCACCATGGGGGCAGAAGGGCGAATCGCGAAATCGCTCTATCAACGATCGCCAGAGTCCCCGCCCACTCTGCCCGAAAGCGTGCCGAATGCGGCGCGCACCGTGGTCTCTCGCAGCCCCCCGGGGCTACGAGCATCCTCGATGAGCTTCAGGATCTCTGCCTCGGGGCCCCTCTTCCAAGGTTCGCCGATGAGCCTGCACATGCTCTGCTGTTGCTCCGCTCTCGATCTCGAAGCCCTGCTGTCGCCACTGGAGGTGTCACGGAGCACGGGGTGCGTGTGGGAACGAGGCGCATGACACGCCATCACGGAGGAAAGAGAAGGAGAGGGGGAGGCGGAGGAGGAAGAGAAAAGGAGGAGGAGAAGGAGGGAGAAAACGAGCAGGATAAGGCAGGAGGAGCAGGAAGAGCAAGAGGAAAGGGACGAGGGGAAGGGAGAGGAAGAAACCAAGAGCGAGACCCTTCGACCTTCACCCCGCAGGGGCGAACTCAAGCGCGGCAGCGCCATCGGCCAGCAAGTGCCTCTCGGACTCGATCCGAGGCGTTGACGATGCCGATTCGGCTCCACCGAAGCCAGCCCCAGAGGCAGAGGGAAGAGAAGGAAGGAGCGAAAGCCGAGGCGCAGGAGGAGGATCCCCTCTGCACTCTGTGATGGACGTGTGCTCCAAAGCCCTCGACCTCTTGGCCTACAGACTCTTTCCGCTTGCCCCCATCCCTGCTTTCAGCCGCCGCCGCGTCTGCCATTTCTCCCCTCGCCGCCGTGCCCCGAGTCCCCCCACCTACCGGTCCACTGCCGCCCTCGCTTCGCTTCTCAGCCTACAAGCATCGTGCGATCATGAAGATGATTGGGTAAGGAGCGAAGAGGCCGTTCTGGCCACGGCGAGCCTCGGCAACGAATATAAGTTTGAACTAAATGAAGGAACGGACCGAGATCCAGAGCACCTCCTGAACCCAGAATGGTCCTTACTTTAGCGTCTTGAGTGCAAGTCCGGATCCTGGCGGCACCGCGCCTTTCGACACAAGTTGCGCCACTGCGTGGACGCTTCCTTTGATGGCGATGGCCTCAGCTTCGAATGATCAAATCGGCACCTGCGGACCCGCCCTGGACACAGCGAACAGGGAGCCGATCGCGCGAGCGCGATAAGAAATCGCCTTGCTTGCACGCCCGGACGCCTATTCCACGTGCACGTTTCGATAGCATGCGCGTCTTGTCTTGCAAGTAAAAACGCACATCCGAGCGATGCCAAGCAAACGCCGCAGAATCGCTCACCACTCTTAGAGGATAGAGAACTACGCACATACACCGATTCTGGCCAGGCCTATCCTGAGCCCAGGATCAGTGCATACGCCCCCTGACCTTGGCTAGGAAGGTATATGCACCGATCCTGGGTTAAAGATGGGCCTTGCCAGGATCAGTGCATGTGCATAGTTCCCTTCGCCCGAACGAACTCTAGACGCGCCCCGGGCCAGCAGGCCGCGCTCGAGCGTGTACCCCGTGGCCGCTGCCCCCCCGCCGGAGCAGAGCTGCGCCCACGCCCCTGGCTGTCACAGCGCTGCGAGGATGACGGCGAAAACACAGGCAACGAGTAATTGGCAGGACGGTGCAGAAGGGACGATGGAAGGGTCTTCCTCCTCCTCCTCCTCCTCCACCTCCTCCTCCTCCTCTTCTTCCTCCTCCTCCTCCTCCTCCTCTTCCTCCTTCCCCTACTCCTTCATTTCCTCTTTCCCCTACCTAGGGTGGTGGTGGTGAAAAGTCGGCCCAGCACAACAGGGGGGTGCGAACGACGAAGATACCACAAGAGAAGACAACCAGGCAAGCCGCGCCCCTCCTGTGCGTCGCGCTGGGCGGCCTCCGTGCTGGCGTTGGTGATAACATAACATGTATTCAAACGGCATGACCCCGCACGATGATCGATTTAGATTGCCATTCGCTCTTTCCGCTTCGCCCTGGCCGAACCTCCTGTATCGCCCTCTGTTGCGCCTCCTCTTCCTCCTCGTCATCCGTCTCTTCCTCCTGATTGCCCTCCTTGTTCAATTTCTCCTCTTCCTCTTCTCCCTTTTCCTCCTCCTCCTCCTCCAGTTCCTTTTCGTTTTCCCCCCGTCCTCCCTGATCTCCATCCTGCCGATTCTCTTCATGCACCTCGTACTCCTCTCTGGCAGAGGGGGGCCATGCCCATTTTCCTCGGCGCCCTCGCCGCCGCGCCCGACAGGGGCGCGTTCTCCAATGGCAAAACCGCGAAGCTGTCGGGACAACGGCCGTTGGGACAACCCCGCGAGCCGCTGGGCCGCGAGAGCAAGCCGTTGGGACAACCCCGCAGGCACCGAGTCAGGCGCGGCCGCGTTCAGGCGGGAGGCAGCACGAAATTCAGCTGTGCCGCGAATATCTCCGTTCCAGCCCCGGAAGTCCACCGCTCTCCGGTCGAACTCCTCGAGCGACGTGTGGCTAGGGAAGGGGTTCCTGCCTGAGAATTCCTTGCAACTCACTCACAGACGCGCGAGGAACGCCTCGAAATGTGCCCCTTTTGATGTGCTCAAGTGAGATGCCTGATGGGGTTTGCGGATGACCCGCTCGGATTACAACATGAAATGTGGGCCCCATAGGGAGGGGGGTTCCGCCTGAGACGTCCTTGCTCTCCACTCACAGACGAAGACAGACGGAGGCCCCGCGTGAGACTTCCTCCGCATTCGATCTAAAGAAGCCGAAAAGTAACGACAATGACAGGGTTCCGATGACCCGCTCGGAATACCAACGTGAAGTACGGATCCCAGTGGGAAGGTGCTCCCGCATGAGATTGCCTCGCGATTCACTAACACATGCAGTTCCCGCCTGAGACTTCCTCCATATTCAATCCAGGAGGGCCGAAAAGTGACGAGTGTTTCAGGGTTCCGATGACACGGCCGGATTACCACCGCCAAGCGTCGGCCCCATAGTGAGGGGGCTCCCGCCTGAGACGTCCTCTCCATTCACTCACAGACGAAGCACGCCTAAGACTTCCCCCGCATTCAATATAAAAGAGCCGAACTGTAACGACAGCTACAAGGCTCCGATGACCCGCTTGGATTGAACGTGAACTGTGGACCCAAGAGGGAGGGGGCTCTCGCCTGAGACGCCCTCGCAATTCATTCACAGACGAAGCTCACGCCTGTGACTTCCTCCATATTCAATCCAGAGAAGCCGAAACACAACGACAATTCCAAGGTTCCCATGCCCCGCTCGGATCACCAACGTCAAATGCGAACCCAATGGGGAGGGGGCTCCCGCCTGAGACTTCGTCGTGCTTCACTCACAAACGAAGATCCCGCCTGTGACCTCCTCCATTCAACCCAGAGGAGCCGCAAAACAAATATAAGTACAAGGTTCCGATGGCCCGCTTGGAACCTAAAATGCAAACCCCGCAGGGAGGGGCTCTCGCCTGAGACTTCCCCGCGACGCATTACAAACGAAACTCCCGCCTGAGACCTCCCCCGTATTCAGTCCAAACTAAACGAAACATGACGACAATTGCAGGGTGCCGATGACCCGCTCGGATCACCGACCTGAAATACGGATCCCATAGACAAGGGGCTCCCGCCCGAAACTGCCTCGCAATTCACTCACAAGCGAAGTTCCCGCCTAAGCATTCTTCCATATTGAACCCAATGGAGCCGAACAGAGACGACGGATACCAGATTCCAATGGGGGCACCGCTCGGGTTACCAATCTGAAATACGGACCCCACACGGAGGGGGCTCTCGCCTGAAACTTCCCCGCAACGCATTACAAACGAAACTCCCGCCTGAGACCTCCTGCAAAATCAATTCAGAAGAACCGAAAAAATGACGACAAGTACATGGTTCCGATGACCCGTTCGGATCACCAGCATGAAATGCGGATCCCATAGGGAGGTTGCTCCCGCCTGAGGCTGCCTCGCGATCTACTCACAGACGAAACTCACGCCTGGGACTTCCTCCATAGTCAATCCAAAGGAGCCGAACAATGACAGATAGAAGGTTCCGATGACCCGCTCAGACCACAACTGTCAAATGCGAACACCATAGGGAAGGGGCTCCCGCCTGAGACTCCCTCGCGAATCACTCACAAACGGAACCCCCGCGTGAGACGTCCTCTATATTCAATCCTGAAGAGCAGAAGCGTGGTGACAGTCACACAGTTCCGACGGCCCGCCGGGATTACCAACATGAAGTGCGGGCCTCATAGTGAGGGGGCTCCCGCCTGAGACTTCCTCTCAATTCACTCACAGGCGAAGCCCCCGCCTGAGAATGTCCCCGAATTCCATCCAGAAGAACCGAACATTGACGACGGTTACAGGGTCTGGATGACCCACTCGGATTACCAGCATGAAATGCGGACACTTTAGGGAGGGGGCTGCCGCCTGAGACTTCCTGTCTGCGACTTCCTCCAGATTCATTCAATCTAGAGGAGCCGAACGATGACGGCAGCTGCAAGGTTCCGATGACCCGCTCGGATTACCAACATGAAGTGCGGACCCCATAGGGAGGGGGCTCCCGCCTGAGACTTCCTCACACGTCACTTAAAGACAAGACTACCTCTTGGTCGATGGTCACGACGGGATGGTGAGTGGTGAATGTGTAATGATAGCGATGGTGATGGTGAGTAATGGTGAGTGATACTTGATTGATGATGGTGAAGTACGGTGACGAGGTAGAAAAGAGGGTGGGTGTGGGTGAATGTGATGATGATCATGAATGAATGGAATGAGTGTGTTGGTGATGATGACGGTGGTACTGATGATGATGATGATGATGATGATGATGATGATGATGATGATGATGATGATGATGATGATGATGGTGGTGATGATGAGTGTGATAACGATTGTGACGGTGTTGGTGATGAGGTGGAAGAGAAGGGGGGAGGGTGGGAGGTGTTCCTACGCGGAGGTGTGCGAAGAAAACAAGAACCACACTTAGGATGTGGGGAACAAACTGCGCAAACGGAACCTTTCAAAAGCGCGGACTTATTCGGTCGGTGCTGACCCCCCTCCCTGGCGCGTGGAGCGCGCCAAGGGCAGCGCCACAGGCACCGCCAGGAGGCTTCAGCTCCGATCCGAGAAATCCGAGCAGAGCTCCACAAACTCATGTTTCTGAAAGTGCTTCTGGTTAGACGATGAGTGGCCACGGTAAGGAGGGAACCTGCTCGGGTAGGATGAACGTCGACCTGGAATCGGTGACACATCGCAGATACGTCGGCGGCAGAGCCCCGATAGCGAATCCGCACGTGCCTAGGCGGGGTGGGCTATCGACCGATTGCTGGTGCAGGGGTGCTTGAGAGTCGATGTAAACCCCCTAACACTACCACTTTGCTTTCGAGCCACAACTCAGCTCTTTGGCGGGTCGTTCGGGACGATCCCGACAGCCCCCAGAACGCTCTCGGCGAGGCGCAGCTGCTGGAGGGCGCCCCGAGGCAGGAAAAGCGCCAAGAACCGGCGACAACGCACGAGAATCTAGAACCTCGGACCAAAAACGTTGCCCCGGACTGCAGCGTGATCCTCCCGTCGAGCCGCACCCGCGAGGCGGGCCTGCAGGTCCACTGGCACGGAAAGCTTCATGCCGCCCTCTTCGAGGGCACCAGGACTCCGGGGGGGGCGCGCTCGGGCCGCGCCGCGGAGGCGTCCTCCTCCTGCACCTCCTCCCCCTCCCCCTCCTCCTCCTTCGCCTTCTCCCCCTCCCCAACCTCCTCCCAATCCTCCTCCTCCTCCTCCTCATCATCACCACCATCACCATCTCCATCATCATCGTCATCATCATCATCATCATCATCATCATCATCATCATCATCATCATCATCATCATCATCATCATCATCATCATCATCATCATCATCATCATCATCATCATCATCATCAACATCAACGTCACCCTCAGCAGCAACAGCAGCAGAATCATCATCATCACCACCACCACCACCCTAATCATCATCATCATCATCATCATCATCATCATCATCAGCATCAGCATCAGCATCGCCATCATCATCGTCATCACCATCAGCATCAACATCCACATCATCATCAGCAGCAGCATCACCTTCATGGATGCAGCGTCATCATCACCATCCTCACCATCACCATCACCATCACCATCACCATCATCATCATCGTCACCATCTGCATCATCAGCAACATGATCATCATCATCACCACCACCGTAGCCATCATCATCATAATCACAAACATTGTCATAGTCAGCAGCATCATCGTCCTCATTCTTAACAGTCATCATCATCTTCAACATTATCATCATCATACCATATCATCCTGAATCGTCAGTGTCAGCAGCATCATCAGCGGCAGCCTCATCATCACCACCATCATCACCATCATCATCGATGTCGCCGTCGCCGTCGACGTCAGTGTCCGCATAATCGTCATCATCATCAGCATCACCAGAAGCATCGTCGTCTGCAACATCCTCATCGCCATCAGTATCATCATAATCAGACTCAGACTCAGACTCTGAATCATCATCATCATCAGCATCATCATCATCAGCATCGCCATATTCGGCGATAACACCATGAGCAGCCTAGTCATCATCAGCATCACCACCAGTTCGGCTTGAGGAACAGAATGAGCATAACCACGAGTATAATCATCCTCATTATCCTCAATTATCATCATCATCCGAAGAAACATCATAATCATAATCAGAATCCCCATCCTCAGCCTCAGCCTCAGCGTCATCCCCATCCGCATCCTCCTCCTCATCCGCATCTGCATCACCATCGTCATCCCCATCCTCATCACAATCCTCATCATCATCCTCATCCTCATCCTCATCCTTATTTGCATCATCGCCATCACCATAACCATCATCGTCATTAACATCAGCAGCATCAGCATTATTCGTACCAGCATCATCATCTTCATCATGGTCATGTTCGTCATATCCCGCATCATCATCAACATCATCATAAGCATCATCAGCATCGGCATCATCGTCGTCATCGTTGTCAGCATCAGCATCATCATCATCATCAACATCGTACACATCATCAGCCTTCTCCACCTCAGCCTCATCCGCATCCTCATCCTCAGCCTTATTATCATCATCATCAGCATCATCATCATCATGATCATCATCATCATCATGATCATCATCATCATCATCGTCATCATCGCCATTATTCTCGTCATCATCATAAACATCTTCATAGACATCCTCATCCACATTACCAGTATGAGTGACATCATCAGCATCATCGTCATCATCATCAACAACATCATGATCATCAGCTAGATCCTCATCACCATCCTCACCATCACCCTAACCCATCATTATCATCCACATCCTCATCCTCATCATTATCATTATCATCCACATCCTCGTCCTCATCCTGATCCTCGTCCTCATCCTCAGCCTTATCCTCCCCATCCTCCTCATCATCTCCAAACTTATCGGCACCATCGTCATCGTCATCATCATCAGCTTCATCATCATCACCATCATCATCAGCATCATTCTCAACCTCATCCTCACGCTTCTCGTCATCCTCCTCACCCTCATCACCATCACCATCGTCATCCTCATCCTTATCACTATCATCGTCGTCAATAGCAACGTCATCATCATCATCATCATCATCATCATCATCATCATCATTATCATTTCTATCATCATCATGATCATCAGCATCATCATCGTCACAATCATGACCATCATCGGCAGCATCATGACTATCATCATCCTCATCATCCGCAGCTTCATCATTGTCATCATCATCAACATCATCATCATCATCAACATCATCACCATCATTATCATCCTCATCCTCATCCTCATCATCGTCTTCATCACCGACTTCATCATCGTCGTCAGCGTCACCGGCAAGCTCATCATCATCAGCATCGTCCTCATGATCATCATGATCTTCATGATTATCATCATCATTGTCCTCATCCACGTCATCATCATCATCATCATCATCATCATCATCATCATCATCATCATCGTTATCCTCATTCTCATCATCATCTTCACCACTATCGTCCGAATCATCACCCATCATCATCCTCATCATCGTCCTCATCATCAGCATGATTATCATCATAATCATCATCATCATGATCATCATCATCATCATGGTGAACATCATCACCACCAGCATCATCATCATCATCCTCATCATCATCTTCAACATTATCATCATCCCCATCATTATCCTCATCATCGTCACCATCGTCAACATCATCATCATCATCATCATCATTAACATGATCATCATCATTATCATCAGCATCAGGATTGCCATCATCATCGTCAGCATCATCAGTATCATCATAAGTATCAGCATCATGGTAAGCATCATCATACTGATTAACATCGTCATCATCATAATCGTTATCATCATCATCACCATCTTCATCATCATCATCATCATCATCTGCATCACCATCATTATCATCACCACCGTCAATAATATCATCATATCATCCTCATCATCGGTATCATCTTCATCATCATGGTCATCATCATCATCAGCATCAGCATCGACAACATCATCAGTCGCCTCAGCATCCTCATCCTCATCATCATCACCATCATCGTCAACATCAGCATCATCATCATTATCAGCATCGTCAACATCATCAGCATGAACATCGAAATCGTCATCAAGATCATCAGCATTAGCGTCAGCATCGTCATCCTCATCCTCGTCATCATGAGCGTCATCAGCACCATCATCATCGTCAGCACCATCATCGTCATCACCATCATGATCCCCATCCCCATTATCAGCATCATCACAAACATCATCATGATCATGATGATGCTGATCATGATCATGATCATCATCATAAGCAGCATCGTCAACAGCATCGTAGTCACCATCCTGGTCACCATCATCGTTACCATCACCATCATCATGGTCATCATCATCATCTTCCTCCTGATCACCATCATCCTCAGCATCAACATCGTCAACATCATCATCATCATCACCATCACCATCATCATGATCGTCATCCTCATCCGCATCCTGATCATCATCATCCTGATCATCGGCATCATCATCATCATCACCATCATCACCATCGTCATGGACATCATCGTCATCGTTATCCTCAGCATCATCAGCATGAGCATCGTCAACATCGTCATCATCATCAGCATCGTCAACATCTTCATCGTCACCGTGATCATCATCCTCCTCATCATCATCGTCACCATCATCCTCATCATCATCACCAGCCTCGTCATCGTCATCATAGTCATAATCATCGTCAACATCATCAGCATCATCATGAACAACAACATCATCGTCGGCATCATGATCTTAATCAGTATCATCATGATGATCATGATCCTCATCATCATCGTCAACGTCATGATCATCCTCTTCATCATCATCGTCATCATCATCCCCATCCTCATCTTCATCATAATCATCGGCGTCATCATCATCATCGTCATCATCACCAAAATCATCGTAGGCATCGTCGTCGTCAACATCATGATCAGCGTCATCATCCCCATCGGCATCTTCATCATCGTCATGATCATCGTCATGATGATGATCATCATCATCAACATCATCACCACCGTCATCGTCATGATCACCAGCATCATCATCATCCTCATCATTAGCATCGTCATTATCACTGCCATCGTCTGAATCGGCAACGTCCTTATCATCATCGTCCTCATCATCATCAGCATCGTCATCATCATGAGTGTCATCCTACTCCTCATTATCATCATCATCCTCATCATCTTTATCACCCTCATCATCATGATCATCATCATCATCCTCTCATCGTCATAATTATCCGCATTGTCATGATCATCATCATCTCATCATCATCATCATCCTCATCGTCATCATCATTATCACACGCAGCATCATCGTCAACTTCAGCTTCATCATCGTCATGGTCTCGTCCTCATCATTGTGATAATGATCATCGTCATCATCCTCATCATCATCATCCTCATCATCACCATCAGCATCGTGAACATCATCAGCATTATCATCGTTATCATCATGATCATCACCATCATCATTATCATCATGATCAGCATCATCATCATCATCTTCATCATAATCCTCATCATCCTCCTCATCATGATCACCATTATCCTCATCGACAGCATCATCGTCAACATCATCATCGACATGATCATCGTCATCATCGTGAAAATCATCATAATCGTCGTCATCACATTCATCCTCATCATCCTGCGGCTCATCATCATCATCATCATCCTCATCATCATTATGAGTATCATCATTATCATCCACATCATCCTCCTCCTCATCATCATCCTCAATATCATCATCATCCTGACCATCGTCAACATCATCATCGGCAGCATCATCCTCATCCTCATCATCATCGTCATCATCATGATAATCGTCATAATCGTCATCATCATCCTCATCATCATCGTCAGCACCTTCCTACTCATCATCATTACCATCATGCTCAGACTCATCCTCATCATCATCGTTCTCATCATCCTCCTCATCATCATCATCATCAACATCATCATCCTCGCGTGCATGGAGGCGGCTCGGAACCCCAGCAGCGGCCAGGACACCATGCGCTGCAGCAGCACCTGCCGGCCGCCAACCCCGACCTGGCGCGCGCGCGGGCGCGCGCGCCCGCTGCGAGGCGCACCCTGGCCGCCCCGTGCACTCGGCCCGGACTTCGGGCGGATTCGATGCGTCAATCCTAACACTCTACCCCGATTTCGGACACTGGGAAGCTGCTTTTTTGTTCCGCCCCTTAGGAATTCTCTGGTGGCTCGCGGGTTCCCTAGGCCATGGACGGTGAGCGAGCTACACGCTCCCCGCGGCAGCTGGCCCATGCCAGAAGTCGAACGGCGGAGGCTACGAGAAGGCGCGAGGCGGCGGCTATCAGATTGAAGAAGTGCTGCGGAGAGAAGAGTGGATTACCCTACAGGGTCAACGCGTCTGCACCCCCCCGGGGCAGTGAACAACGATTAGATCGGCCGCGAAGAAGTGTCCCGGGGAGACAGATCCAGACCCCTGGGGCCCGCGGACTGCAAAACAGATCCGGCGAACATCTGGGGAGGACCCTGCATAATGGCTGCGGACGGAATGTGGTGGAGCGAGGGGGGGCGCCTTTGCATGAGACCAACGGTTCTGTACATTTGCCTCCCTCCTCCTCCCTCCCCACTCCTCCTCTGACTGTTTAGCCCTCGACTTGCAAGGGGGGAGGGGGAAAGGAACGGTATGAGCCTGCCTATATCGCTTACTTATTATCCTCCCCCCTTTGTGAGAAGGCGAAGGGCCTTATAAAAAAGCTCGGGGGCCTCAAGGAAACCTGATTCAAGTGCAGCAGGACTTCTAACTGTCCCCCCCATCCCATGCCTCCTCAGAAACCCCAACTCCCTCACATCGTCCCATGTTGCGTGCCTCCAATGGTACCGACCCGTCTCTGCCTGGTCGACATAGACATGACATGCTCACGGCGGCGCGTGCATTGGCACACTTCAACCGTTAACCCAACCGTACATGTTTTCCACCGACTATCATAGCTACGAGGTCGACTCACCCGGCAACTCTGATCCTACGCGACATTAACTTCGCAATCTTCGATTATGTATTGGCTTGGCTTAGAAATTCCAACTTTGAGGAACGATAATGTAAAGCCCTCAGCCTGATGCGCGCCAGCGCGAAGCTCTCGCCCACGCTTGCGCAGGAGCATGCTGGAAGGATATTGAGGGCTCTTGGTGGTAAGTCTTGGTCCACCATGCGCCCTTTTCATTATTCTTCATCCTCCCGGCGGTACGCACAAGGGAATGTGGCAAAGGAGGTCTAAGAGGGCAGAGAATTGATTGGAAGCCCTCCCGCCTTCCAAAAAGCCATAATGGAAGGCTAGGAACCCTTCCGATGAGCCCCTTCCGCCTCCTTTGATAAGGCCACCCTTCGCCCCGCTCCCGCCTCCGCTTTTTCACCCCCCTCATCCCCCGCTCTTTCACCCCCCTCATCCCCCTTCCTCCTAGTCCTCCTGATCCCCCTGCTCCCCACATTCATCCGCCTCATCGTTCTCCCAAGAGTGACGGTACACATCCCCCTACTCCCCACATTCATCGTTCTTCCAAGAGTGACGGTACACATCCCCCTTACTCTCACTCCTCCTGGCCCCCCTGCTCCCCACACTCATCCCCTTGATCTTTCTTCCAAGAGTGACGGCACACGGCGCCCTGATGGCGCTCGGCTTCGTCCAGCTTGGCGGGCCGCTCAGTGGGCCAACGGTATGGTCGCAGTGGGAAGCGAAGCGGCGTAGCAGGGTAGCGTCGTAGACCTGCACGCTCCACTCGCCCATCCGAAGCCACACACCTCCCTCTCACTTATCACTAGTCCCTCCCACGACCTCCACCTCCTCCCCCTCCTCCTCCTCCTCCTCCTTCTCCTCGTGTTCCTCCTCCTCCTACTCCTCGTCGTCCTCCTCCTCCTCTTCCTCCTCCTCCTTTTCCTCCTGCATTCCCTTTCCTTTTAACAAAGTCGCCCTGTCGCACCCCGAAGCCGGTTTTTCCGGCGGGGTGGGCGTTTCGCCTGAGAAATCCTCACCATCTTTAACCCTGAAGCGTTACAACAGTTTCACAGATGGAGGGCGGGTCGTTTTCAAAAAGTGGCTGTCGCCTTAGCGCCGCGCACATTAGCTTTGAACATGTGCTAAGGGCTTCACGGATTGAAGGGAACCCATTTTCAAAATGTGGTTCGCGCCTTCGCGCCGTGCACATTCGTTAATACAATTTACAATTTGCAAGAGTTTCACTGGATCCCACGATCAAATTACCAGAAATGGCGTTACGGAAGGATTCCGGGTTATGAGGGTGCACCAGTTATGTTCATTCGCGGTGTTGAAATCCCAAGAATGGTGTTCTGGCACGATTCTGGATCGTCAAAATGCAACAATCAGGTTGATCCGCGGCGTTGAAATCCCGGGAACAATGTTTTGGCATGCTTCAGGGTCTTCAAACGGTTGTCGTCCAACGAAGCAGTTCCCTCAATGGCAATGCACCGTTGTAGGGGCCCATGAAGGGGGATCTTGGGGGCGATGTTTTTTTTCCAGCATCGTTGGTAACTCTTGGGTTTACACTGGTCCTCCTCCTCCTCGCTTCCCCTGTACCTTCAATTAAGCAAGAAAAAACAAGACCATGGGCCAGGCCAGGGAGCCTGGGCCGCAAGCACGGCCGCCCACGGCCCACGGGCGCGGTTATCGCCACGCCCGCGCGCAGACGCCCCCGCGACCACGGGGGGCCCGGGGAAGGCCGGCGCCGCGCGCGCGGCAGCCGCGCGTGGACCCGCGCCCTCAGGGCTGCGCGGTCGTGCGCTTGCGGCCGCCTCGCCGCCCCTCCCCTCCCTCCCTCCCTCCCTCCTCAGCCACGGGGCGCCCTGGTCGCATGGTAAAAAAGTGCGTTTGCGGCCGCCTCGCCGCCCACGCGACCAGTGCCGTACCGACGCCCCAGTGGGCAGCACGGTCGGCAGGATGGCCTCGTCATTGTCGTCGTTGGCGGCGCCGTTGCTGGCGGCGCCCCCAGGGGCAGTACGCCTGCACTGGTCGCTCACTGTGCCGTCGGAGCGCGGGGAGGCGATGTCGTTCTCCTCGTGGGTCTCGGTGACCTCGTTGGTGTCCAGCTCGGTGCACTCCGCGGTCTTCAGGCCCGGGTCCAGCTGTAGCTCGTCACGATAGCTGTAGTGTCTGCTGGATCTGCTCACGTTGTCCATGTCGTCGTTGGCCCCGATCGTCTTGCCCGTGACGCCGGGTGTCAGTGGCCTCGTCCTTCACATTGGGTTCGATGTCCTTGTCCACCAGCTGCCTGACGTATGTGCTGGTGACATTGCCGCTGCGGGTCAACTTCTTCAGCATTCTTTCATCTCCTTGATCTCCTCCCGCTCCTTGAGTTCCTTTCGTGCTGAAACAGCCGCCGCGCTGGCGACCTGCAGCTTCTCCATGCGAGGGTGGCTTCCTGCTCCAGCTCCAAGAGATTAGCGCGCAGATGGCCTCGAGGTTGGCCCCTCTGATATCGTCAGCGGGGCTGTACTTCTCGTGGTCCTCCATGCTCTCGAAACCGTCTGTCCAGAAATCGGCGAACCGGGTGTGCTCGTGGCTGTTCATGCTGTCGTAGCTGCGCTTGCTTTTCGAGTTGCTGCGCATGCCCGTCGCGTTGCACATCGGGTCGCCGATGCCCTCAATGCTTTGGGGGCTGACCGTCATGTCGAATTCTCCCTGGCCATCGGAGTCGTTGCTGAGATTATCCTCAGGCCGGTGGGTCCCCAACGTGCTGTAGAACTTCAGAACGTCGCTGTTGCCCTCGATGTTGGTCTCGCTAAGGGGACCGCTGTCGACGTAGACCTTGTCTTCGCTGGTCGCGCTGCTGGCCTCACTGTAGCTGTTCTTTTCTGAATTTCTCAGAGCCGTCGTTATCGTAGGTCTCGCTGACTCTGTCCCCGGTCCCGCTGCCACCCACGGTCCACGATGAGGTCTTACCACCCTGGGGGCAGCCCTGGGGGCCGCCCTGGGGGCTGCCCGCGCAGCGGATGGCCTCAATGTTGGTGTCCTTGGTCTTGTGATTGTTACTGTACTTCTCGTGTGCCTCGACGGTTCCCCCCTTGTTGTCGTCATCGCTGCCGGACATGGTGCTGGTCTCGATGGCCCGCCGCTGGTGTCGGCGACATGATCGGCGGCGGTGATGCCTGCATCCGTCTCGACCTCCGCTTTGCGGTGACCCTTGGCCGTGAAGGTCTGCACATAGGTCCCGATGTCCTTCCCGTGAACGGCGGGCCCAACGCTGCCGTTGATCACGGCGCTGCACGTGGAACGGCCAGCCGGCTCGCGCCATGACTGGCTGCGCGGCGGTCGACTCGGTTGATGCTGTAGTCCTTCTCCTCGCTGATGGTGCCTATTATGGTGGTGCCGTACCCGTCGATGGTGTCCGCATCCGTGGAGACGTTGTTCAGGATGTTGCGCGTGGAGGCATCTGGCCTGCTGCCAGCAGTAGATCGCCCACTGCGAGCTGCTGTAGCCTAGATGCCGTCTAAGATGCCGAACTTGACTTGGCGAGGAAGGCATGTAAGACCGAGGCAGCCCCGTTACCTTCCGCAATGGCTAGTCGCGGACCTGCGCACCCGCAGAAGCAGCGCGGCCGCGCCGTAGGACCACCCCCGCGGTCAAAGACGCTGGGGGCATCTGGATGTGCCCAAGTGAAATTGCCCTTCCTCCACCTCCTCCTCCTCCTCCTCCTCCTCCTCCTCCTCCTCCTCCTCCCCCTCCTCCTCCCCCCCTCCTCCTCCTCCTCCTCCTCCTCCTCCTCCCCCTCCTCCTCCCTCCTCCTCCTCCTCCTCCTCCTCCTCCTCCCCCCCCTCCCTCCTCCTCCTCCTCCTCCCCCCCTCCTCCTCCCTCCTCCTCCTCCCTCCTCTCCTCCTCCTCCTCCTCCTCCTCCTCCTCCTCCTCCTCCTCCGTCCTCCTCCTCCTCCTCCCTCCTCCTCCTCCTCCTCCTCCTCCTCCTCCTCCTCCTCCTCCTCCTGCCTCCTCCCCCTCCCCCTTCCCTTCCCCCTCCCCCTCCCCCTGCCCCTCTCCCTCACCTCCCTCACCTCCCTCCCCCTCTCCCTCCCTCTCCCCCCCTCTTCCTTCCTCTCTCCTACTCATCGCTCCTCCTAGCTCTCCCTCCCCTGCTCACTCCACCCTGCTCCCTCCTCCCCCAAACCCCCCCTCCCACTGCCCCAGCAAGTTCACTCCCCTTTCGGGCTGCCGCCTCCTAGGTGCCCAGATCCGTTTGGATCGCTAGGAAAGGCAGTGGGGCTAGGAAGCATGGCAAAGACATCCGTTCATTGGACCAGCAGTGCGGCTCTCGAGCCGGTGCTTGCCTGGAGAGGTCCGCGGGGGTGTCCTCCCCCGAGTTGGGTCTTGAGTCGAGCTTCCCCCATTCGTTCAGCCCTGTCCAGGCGTTCTACCAATGCTGGCACGTCCTTGCACCCAACTGCGAGTCTGAGCCGAGCCAATCCTCATTGTCACGAGGGCTCTCCCTCGCTCCTCACTCATCACTCCTCACTCCTCGTTTCTCACTCCTCCTCCTCCTCCTCCTCCTGCTACTCCTCCTCCTTCTGTTCCTCCTCCTCCTCCTCCTCCTCCTCCTCCTCCTGCTCGGCACCGGCAGCGGTGCACTCGCGCGCGCGCGGCAGACCACGCCGCCGCCGCACTCGAAGGAGACCTGACGCGTGGTGTCCACGCCGTCCGCCAGCCAGCTCAGCAGGGACTTCGCAGGTTGGGGGGGGACACCAAAGAAAGAGGACCGCCGTCCTACTCCCAACTATACCTCGATAGACATACATACATACATTACGTTACAGTACATTACAGTACATTGCATTGCAGTGCATAGCATTACATTGCATTACATTGCCTTGCATTACATTCCATTCCATTACAGTTGCATCACATTACAATGCATTGCATCACAATGCACTACATTACACTACATTACACGACATTAAACGCATGCAAACACACATATAGGCATACACATATACATACATACACATGCATCCATACATACTTATATGCATACATCTACGCATACATTCATACATACATATATGCATGCATACATACACATATAGCATGTATACCTACACATGTGTATATATATATACATGTACAACCATACATACATGCATACATACATGCATACATACATACATACATACATACATGCATAAATACATGCACAAACATACATACATACATACATACATACATACATACATACATACTAGAACCACGCGCGCGCTTCGCGCGCGCTTAGGTTCTGTCGAGTCACAGACCCAGGAATCGTTGCGAGAAGAAATTGGTGACGCGAAGCGTCTTGGGGGCGTCCTTGGACGTCTGGGGTCTCCTGGGGCCTCTTGAGGGGCCTCCTTGGGGCCTTCTTGGGCTCCATCCGGAAGCCAAGATGGATGCAACAAGAGGGTGCTTGGGCTCTCCGTGAGCTATCCTCTGGTTTTCATTCCCCTGGAGAGGAGAAGGAGGAGGAGGAGGAGGAGGAGGAGGAGGATGAGAAGGAGGAGGAGGAGGAAAGATGCAGAGGAGGGAGGAGGAGGAAGGAGAGGAGATGTTGGGGCGCTCTTGGGGCCCTCTTGGGCTCTCTTGGGGCTCGTCGGGGCCCTCGTGGGGCCACCTTGGGCTCCTCTCGGAGCTCCAAGAGGAGCCCACAGAGGGGCCCAACATCGGTCACGCGAGAGCTCTTTCGCGTGACCGATGTTGGGGCCCTCTTGGGGCCCTATTGGGCCTCCTTGGGCCCTCTTGGGGTCTCGACGGGGCCCTCGTGGGGCCATCTTGGGCTCCTCTCGGAGCACCAAGAGGAGCCCAAAGAGGGGGCCCAACATCGGTCACGCGAGAGCTCTTCCGCGTGACCGATGTTGGGGCCATCTTGGGGTTCCTTGGGCCTCCTTGGGCCCACGTGGGGCTCCCTCGGGGCCCTCGTGGGGCCATCTTGGGCCCCTCTTGGAGCTCCAAGAGGAGCCCAAAGAGGGGCTCAACATCGGTCACGCGAGGGCTCTTCCGCGTGACCTATGCTGGGGCTCTCTTGGGTCCCTCTTGGGCCTGCTTGGGTCCTCTTGGGGTCTCGTCGGGGCCCTCGTGGGGCCATCTTTGGCTCCTCTCGGAGCTCCAAGAGGAGCCCACAGAGGGGCCCAAAATCGGTCACGCGAGAGCTCTTCCGCGTGACCGATGTTGGGGCTCTCTTGGAGCTCTCTTGGGTCCCTCTTTGGGCCTCCTTGGGCCCACGTGGGGTCCCCTCTGGGCCCCCTCTTGGGCCCGTCTTGGGGCCCTCTTGGGCCATCTTGGGCGCCTCTTGGGCCGTCTTGGGGCCCTCTTGGGCTGTCCTGGGGCCCTCTTGGAAGCTTCTTGGGCCGTCTTGGGGCGGTCTTGGGCGCCTCTTGGGCCGTCCTGTAACGTCGGAAAGCCCAAAAGACAACTTTGTTGAAAATGTACGTTTTACGAAGGGAATGGGCCAATTTTTGCGTCTAGGGGCCCTCTTGGGACGCATGTTGGAGGCTTCTTGGGGCCTCTTGGGGGCGTCCTTGGACGTCTGGGGTCTCCTGGGGCCTCTTGAGGGGCCTCCTGGGGGCCTCCTGGCGGCCTCTTGGGGCGGAAGGCTCGAGCTTGCGGTTCGTGGTCCCCCTCTGGGCCCCCTCTTGGGCCCGTCTTGGGGCCCTCTTGGGCCATCTTGGGCGCCTCTTGGGCCGTCTTGGGGCCCTCTTGGGCTGTCCTGGGGCCCTCTGGGAAGCTTCTTGGGCCGTCTTGGGGCGGTCTTGGGCGCCTCTTGGGCCGTCCTGTAACGTCGGAAAGCCCAAAAGGCGACTTTGTTAAAAATGTACGTTTTACGAAGGGAATGGGCCAATTCTTGCGTCTAGGGGCCCTCTTGGGACGCATGTTGGAGGCTTCTTGGAGCCTCTTGGGGGCGTCCTTGGACGTCTGGGGTCTCCTGGGGCCTCTTGAGGGGCCTCCTGGGGGCCTCCTGGCGGCCTCTTGGGGCGGAAGGCTCGAGCTTGCGGTTCGTGGTCCCCCTCTGGGCCCCCTCTTGGGCCCGTCTTGGGGCCCTCTTGGGCCATCTTGGGCGCCTCTTGGGCCGTCTTGGGGCCCTCTTGGGCTGTCCTGGGGCCCTCTTGGAAGCTTCTTGGGCCGTCTTGGGGCGGTCTTGGGCGCCTCTTGGGCCGTCCTGTAACGTCGGAAAGCCCAAAAGACAACTTTGTTGAAAATGTACGTTTTACGAAGGGAATGGGCCAATTTTTGCGTCTAGGGGCCCTCTTGGGACGCATGTTGGAGGCTTCTTGGGGCCTCTTGGGGGCCTCCTTGGACGTCTGGAGGCCATCTTCAGCATCTCGGAGCCCTCTTGGAAGTTTCTTGGGCCGTCTTGGGCGCTTCTTGGGCCGTCTTGTCTGACTGGGGAGGCCTCCGGCAAGCCCCGACGAGCCTCCGGGCCCCCCGGGGTGCACATTTGCGGTCGAGGTCCCGGCCCCGGGCCCCCGGACCCGGTGCGCCGTTATATGTATACATACATACATGCATGCATGCATCATGCATGCATGCATGCATACATACATGGATGCATGCATGCATGCATACGTGCATGCATGAATGCATACATACACAAATAATTACATACACCTATATATGGACCGACCTTGGTTCCTCCAGGTACGCGTTGCATCGCATCAATGTGCAACGATGTGTTGCTCATGACGCCCGCAAGTCGATTCGAGAAGGGATCCTCGTACCCCTCCTCATCGTCCTCTTGCTCCTCCAGCCCCCCCCCACTGGGGTGTGTCCCCTTGGACACGCGAGAGAAGGTTCCTGCGGGCAAGTAATGCCTACCCAGGTCTCTGGAGACAGGCTGCGAGGCCCGCGGCCCCGCCGAGCTCGGAGAAAGGAGCTCGGAGACGAACGGTTGACTGCCAGACGCCGTATACGCACGATCGCGCCAATATGCTTCGCCTGTTTTCAACAAGCACCATGAACACATGGAACCACCCACCAGAAAACGCACCTGGTCCAAGCAAGAATGGAGGACAAAAAGGCCAAGGGAACTGTCAGGGAACGCGCCACAACGTTGTCTTAACAGACGCACCATAAGAATATTGGGTATATGAAACGCAAGAGTCGGTTCCCGGACAGAGCACAGAGCAGCCAAAGTCGCAACTCATTTGCGGAATGGCGATGTCTGAGGTTACGCAGGGATGTATGTGTCAGCTCGCCCACGCACCCAAACCACGCGCGCGCGCTCCGAGGCGAATACCAATGTACATTGCATATGTGTTGGTCTCGGCCACAAAGCGTGTAAACTTTACAAGGCGTGAGTGCCGTCAAAGATCCACTGGCACCAGAAATGCGCCCAGAAATTACCCTTCGCAAAAAGAGTTCCCGCCAGCAATAATCCCACCAGACACCAGCCCTCTTTGGCGTAGGTGGCTTAACCAGTTGACTTTTCCAACCTCTCTCTCCCTTCGGGGAGATCTTTGCCTCTCTCCATGACCCCCTCTCCCTGGGTCTGCAGGGGGGGCGCCGCGAGAGGCTTGAACGTCCAAGCTGGCTCTCAAGATGTTCCAGGTACCCCAAGATGACCTACAAGTTCGCACCAACCAGCCCAACATGGTTCAAGACAGCATCCAACATGTCTCCAAGAGGCCCCCAGGCCGCCCCGAGAGGGCTCCAAGTGGCCACGGACCCTCTCCAGGGCCCACCAAGAAGCCAACATCCGTCCGAGACCGATGGGCAATCAGTGATGCTTGCAATCTCGCCATTTCGCTTCCGATCATATGTGGAGGCCGCAAGATGGCTCCACGACCACTCACAAAAAGCCCCAGCAAGAGGGCCGCAAGAGCACCAACAAAACCTTGATGGTTGTGTTCCTGTTGTCGTCGTCGTCGTCGTCGCCGCCGCCGCTGCCGACAAGGTCGCCGTCGCCGTCGCCGCCGTCGCCGTCGTCGTCATCTCCGTTTTCCTCACCCATTCTGGCGCAAAAGCACCGAGACTTGCCTTGGCAGGTTCAGGCAACAGTTGGCCACTGCTAAGCTACGCGCTGGCAAGATACACAAGCTTCGACGGCTTCCTGGCGGTCATAGGGGTGCCAAAGGATTGTCGCGAACGGGATCATACCTTGCCGCCACTTACGGGCACCAGATGCCAGGCGCCTCCCCTTCCACAGTGTTCGGTTACGGCGACAAGCAACCTGTACCATTGCGGAGGCGGTGCATGCAGACGGCGCTCCAAGCCACTCTTGGTGACGGTGGCCGCATCAAGTCAGATGAGAAGGTCGTTGGTCACTGAGTGGACTCGTCTTTGGATTTCACGACCAGATTTGCAGCTTCGCATCAAGCGCATCTGGTCCAAGGTGCGCTCGAAGCTGGGGCCTGCCATCAAGTGGCGCGGCATCAAAGGGCCCTTCGCGGCCCTCCAAGCCACACTCATTCAGGCGGGATGGGAACCTTGAGCAGCATATCGTTGGAGGCTGCATGGGCCACAAGGTGTCGAGGAATTGGCACTGCTGCTCAACGCCCTCGTGGTGAGACGCTTGGACTGAGCGCTGGCCCCAAACTAGCACAGGCAGAATTGAAACCCTTCGCGGCGAAAGGCTCCATGGGAGTGTCGGGAGCGACTCTCCTGGTCGCTGCTGGCGGAGATTGGCCACAAAATCGGAAGATCGATCGACGTCGGCCCAAGTTGTCCACATTGTCGCCGGTGCAGGGAGACACTACG